AAATTAAAATTTTGCAAAATGAAGGTATTACTCTGCTTATTAACGGAGTAGAAAAATCATATAAAGGATCTCTTTTAATGGTTACAGGTGACACGCCTGCTTCAGCATTTTTAGGTGGCTTTAAAATGTCTGTTAGTGCAGATAAGCCATGTCGTAGATGTATGACCAATCAAGATAGGTGGAAAAGATTTTTTACTGAAAAAGCTTTCACTTTAAGAAATATGGAAAGCCATTTAAATCACTTGGAAATAATTGAAGGGCCTGAAATGCTACAAACTACTCGTGAATATTGGAAAACAAATTTTGGAGTTAACACGAGAAGTAAATTAATTGATATTGCACATTTTGATGTAACAATGTGTCTCGTACAAGATATAATGCATGTCTTGTGTGAGGGTGTTTTAGAAGTGGAAGCAAGACTTTTAATTAATTTTTGCATTCAAGAAAAAACAATTACTCTCGAGACATTAAATAATCGCATAACTGCATTTAACTACGGTCATTTGCAAAGAGATAAACCTTCATTAATCAAAACTGGCCACCTTAAAGCAAATTTGAAACAGTCATCTGCTCAAATGCTTTGTCTTGCACATGTATTACCATTTCTTCTTAATAATAATCTATATAATGAAAATAGTTCAGAGGATAATACTATTCATGACAGACTTCTACTCCATACAAGACTGTTGCAAATTACAAATATTTGTTTTGCTTTTGAAGTGACCAAGAATGATGCTACTTATTTAGCACAACTCATACGAATTTTTCTCTCTCAGTTTGATATTCTGTATCCTAATTTAATGGTTCCAAAATTCCACTTTCTTGTTCATATTCCTCGTCAGATTATTTTCTTTGGTCCAGCCCGTCAACAGTTTTGTATGAGATTTGAAGCCGCTCATGCTTGGTTCAAAACATTAGCGAGAGTCGTTAGAAATTTTAAAAATATACCTCTATCATTATCGTACAGGTATGAGAGCTTAAGATGTTCCGAATTAGCAGGGATTTCAGGAGAATCATTAAAATTTTTGTACACTGGACACAAAATCAACGAAGGTAGCATGCTTGATCTGACTGACATTCCTGAACGTGAATTATTAATATCTTTTTTATCAAATTTACATGAACAACTTTCGATACCATTAATGTTCACAAAAAAAATAACTGTGCATGGTACAACATATGAATTAGGTTCTATTATTTTGTTAAAATGCGAAGAAAATGATATGCCTGTTTTCGGCCAAATAACAAAAATATATATCCATGGAGAAGACTTTCTTCTGTTGTACAAAGAATATGATACATTATATTATTGCCCAACTTTAAACGCTTATCTCGTACAAAATTCACTTAACGATGCAATAAGTGTTATAAAAATGAGTGAACTCATACATCCTCATCCTATATCTATATTTTCTTTTAAAAAATCAAAGTTTGTTGTTCTCCTTAGTTATAATAGAACAGAATTTATTCAGTAGTTAATATAATTAGGTATAAAATATGTATATAATGTCAATCATTAGATATTTCAGTTTACAATAGTATATATAAGGAGTTAGATATATAAGGACTCTATATAAGAACTACGGATTTATTCTGATTATAAGCTTCATAAATGAAAAAGAAAATATATGTTCATATTCAAAGAATACAAATGCTTATCTTGATCATAAATGCTTATTAAAATTAAGTTAATAACTGTATATGACAATTCTGTAAAATCAGCAAAAGTTCCGAATAAATTGTTTACACAAAATGCATGTTTTATTTACTAATGTTTATAATTTTATATAATGTAAGAAATGTTAAATTCTATTTGAAGTTAAAGTATATTTACATTACATAAGCTAAAAAAACGCAGTTCTCATCTCTTTTGCAATATCATCTAAATTATAATGTCAAAAATGAAAAAATATAAGTTTAAAATTCTTGCAATATAAAAAACTGATAGATAATTAGATTTAGGTAATTGTATTAATTGAGGTTAGATTGAGATTATATTTTAAATTTGTTATTACATTTTACATATAGTACATAAAAAATGTCTTTTTCTAATTAATTCTTTGTCTAATTAATATGCACATTTTTATAGCCTTATCTGTCAAAACAGATTTTGCCAAATGCCGACACGTATTGATGGTTGGAGTCTTAATAACTTATTATATTATAAGTCATGAATTTTATAACATACATGCATGTGTGTTACCGAAGTTATAAAGTGTGTTATGACCATATCTGTGTTATCCGATATATTACTCAAGTGTGTTCTCAGTATGAACTGATTATTATTCTGTGTCAAAGTAACACACCCTATGTGTGTTTCAGGATTACTGAAGGAAAGTAACATGTTTCTGAGGTGTGTTATATAGTGTGTAACAGAAAAATGTGTCATTAAAACACACTTGTATTAATAAAAACAAATTCTTTTGACACGTTTTCCAGCAAATGCGTCAGAACAACATGCCCTTAAATGTTGATAACACGCATTTCTCCAAACCTATTTTTGCAGTGTAAAGGATTATGGTAATCGTTCCGGTGCCCAATGTCGTTGTCGTTAACGGTACGCTTTATTACGTAACGATCGTGCTGAATGCGGAATGTTTACGATTCCGCAAGGTTCTACTTGACGATTGAGTAAGACGTAACTTGTCCGTGAGAGAAGCCGTAGCGAAAGTACTACATATTATATGCAAGGTTACAGGAAATATATCGTGGGAAAAATCTCGCGATTATTAATACAGTAGCCGCGGACAATTTTATTTCCGACATTTCCGTGAAATAAATGACCCTTATCTTTCTCGATTTCCAGCATGAAAATTATGCCTAAGTTTTCGTACAAAAAGTGCAATATGTAGGTAAGGTATACTATAAAAAAAATATCCTTTTCATTTCTAAAATATGAAATTTAAATATTACATAGATTTGTCTATGTAATTAACCGTAAATCATTTATCGAATCTCGTTTTCGGGAGATCTAAAATTTACGTTATCGAAGGCAGAAAAATTGTTCAATTCTTCAAACAGAGAATGCACCTAATTCGACCATATCCGAGCGGATACACACCGAAGTCACAGACAGTCCCGCTGTCCCTCGCTCACCGGAAATTTTGAAACGATGTTACTTTCCGCGCTTCCGTGGACGTAATGCAAATACGAATCTTGTCGACACTGTGCCCATTTCCGTGGATTAGGAAGAGACCGACGTACGTGGCGAGGGGTTCGAGAATCGAAAGAGGAATATCCGTCCGCTTAACCAAACGGCACTTCGTGCGGTGGAGGAACAGATCGAAACTCCTGGCGCTCTAGGATTAAAGCGAGCATCGATCGAGACGGCGGGAATTACCTGTTTCTAAGGGGAATTACAGAATCAAATGGAAGCGGCAGGGACAAGCCGGAGAGTGATATTCATATAATTTTATCGTAATCGGATGTCGAAGTATTTGAAAATTCCGTATTAAATGTTACCCTTCATTTATCCGTTCGCAAAATTTGAATTATTCGTCGAAATCACTTATCATATTTTCGTAATATTACTGAATTTTATATCAATTTAAGGATTGAACAGTTAGAGAGTTTGAATTTGTAATGTTACAGTCAACGATTTATTGTTCAGTTTCTCATCTATTTAGACAGATTAATAATTAAATCAATATATCATATGTTTTCAACATTTATCAAAATTTGACAGAACTCGTCGCGATAAAAAGTGTGGTGTATTTACAACCGCAAAGTTATATCGATAATCCTCGTAGCGCAGGTAATCTGAACTCCAGCAAGAAAGTTTTAACGATTTCACTACCGGGCAAAAATTTCCGGCGGAATATGAGAAATCGTCGAAACTTTTCCGCCCAATCCAAATTGCTTGGCGTATTATAAATGATCAACAGCATTTTCGGAATCCTGCGAGAGATTTTGGAGGGTAAAGTCTGCGGGCGTATTCATCACTTGGATCGGTATCCATCCAAATACATGCGAGGTAATTTTTTTCTGCTGCCACAGGAAGCCTACGGAAGGAGGCAATGAGGCAGTTTCTGAACGCTGAGAAATATTCAACGAATAGCCTAAAATTTGTACGATAACGAATTTTCGAGTACGGATATCGCTATGTCACCACGGTCGTTCGAGAGCTATTTTAGTATTCGGTAGCCGGATCCATTCTCTTGAAAAACTAATACAGAATGTAAAATTCAAGCACGTTCCGCCATGTAAGTAGTTCTTTTCCGGCGATCCGGAACACAAGAGATTTTTCTCAAGTTTTTATAACAGTACGGTACCGCGCTGGTAAATCGATTGGCTGCTCGAGGTGGAATGTCAAGAGACTTTTACCAGTTCGCAATTCATTTGATTCATAGAGTGATACTTCTCGATGAGTTTTCGATGTTACCTCCGAGATCCCATCCCTTCTTATCTCATTTCTTTTCTTCTTGATGTCAGAAAAGCAAAGATGATAACAATGAAAAAAAAAACGCCAGGATCGCATGCGCGATATACCTTTCGACATGACAGCAATAAATTCAAATAACGCGCATATTTCATTTCATGTCGTCCATCAAGTGCCATCGTAAAGATACGATCGCGATTGCCATTCTTTCTACTGATAGCATCGTTCGCAGAAAAAGTTATACTGAATTTCAACCCTTTGCGCTCCACCCTTTTTCCCCTTGTTGCACGCAAGCTTCGAAAGTTCGGTCCTTTTCGAGCCTTCATTACGGAGCGTAAAGCGAAACATTAAAAATCGTGACAACGCAAAGTTTCTTCTTAACAAAGAAATAATGATTTACGAGTGACTATTAAAATTTCGCGGTACATTATTGCATCGCGAGGCCAAGTTACAATGATTAAAGCTCTTAACCTCTTGCACCGACGCGACCTGGGTTAAACGAATCCCAAGTTGATAGTTTGTTATCCCCCTCGAAAACCTATAATCATATCGTAATATATCGCGAAGGAAAAAAAATTTAATTTATCTGGATTAGCGTTATCTCGCGTCAGTGTAATCGGCCTCCAATTTAAACCGTGCGTCGCTAGAACCGGTTGCCAGGAGACGTACCGTGTACTCGCGTGACGGCAAAAGTGCGAAGAAATGACATCTAGAAAGGGGGATATATTCAAATCCAGCCCGGTCTTTTCACGGCCTAAAGCCTGTTAATAACACGTGCAAGGAATATCGTGCGATACTTGCACGCACATACCGTAAGAAGCGGCCCCGTCTCCGCGTAATACGGGCTTCCTTCTCCTTGATTGTGAATAGAAATGCTGCCCGCGGGTCCCCGAGCTAATCGTCTTAACAGCAACGGCGGTTAGTAAATAGCTAAGGATATTGACCGCCCTGAACGTACATGGAGCGGTCGGATAAGCACGTCGTAAAGCAGTTAACGAGAATCGCCGTAGGCCGACCGTCGATCCGTCGCTAATTATCGATGCGTCCCATGTCACGATTACGGCGCGCAGAGATGTCGGACGGCACGAGATGATCCGGCAAGTTCTTATTGACGTCAGTACTTCCGGTTAATACACGTGCGTTTTGAGTCTCCTATGATGATTACCAACATTGAATTATGAAAACATAAACTGAGACAAATAATTGGCGTTCGTAATGAACTTTAACACGTAGATTATATAATGACAAACTATTACTTTTTCTAAAATCTTTCAAATAGTGAAAAAAATTAGAGTATTCTATTCTGTAACTTTTATAAGTTAATATATAAGCTACATAATATATGTAGAGTCTTCTTGAGAGTTAATTTCTTGTGTATTAATTCGTAAATAACGACTGTTATTAATTACTTTAGCACTGTATATATCCGGGATGTAACTTTCAGACAATATTCACATAAAATCAATACAATTTCAAAGGAAGTTCCAAAGGGCGCCAGGATTATGTCAATAAGAACTCATGAAATATTTTCAGGCAAACAATATAGTCATTCGTCATATTTAATATTTACAAAGTTGATGTACGAGCTTGCCAAACAGTGTTTTCATACCTCATTTGTCGTACCATACATTCAATACGGTCATACATTACGCAATTGCGCGTCAGAAAAGAAAAAAAAAAGAAAAAGAGCCGACGTTAGGTGCGCGTCACACGCGTTTCACGTAAAAAGGCTCAGCAGTCGCGTTCGGCATTATCCGTTCAGGCGTGTGCATGATTGATTCGTCGCGATAAATTCGTGAACGGACACGTATGCGGAAGTGATATTAATTATTCGTTTCTAAGCGCGGCGGTAGCGACGGCGGCCACTGTTAGAAGAATCCCTCGGCCATTTGTCACTCCGCTATCGATTTCAATTTATCTTAATTGCCCGCGCGATTAGCTTTCGCGCTCGAAACATGTAGACGGCTTACAAAACGGGCCCCGAAATACAATCGAACCCTGTGAAGCGCGTTGCGCGACGGCGGCGGCGGTCGCCGTAAACACTTACTCGTCGTGCGGTCGTCCATTAATGAGCTAATTGCAAATGCATGGAATTAGGGTAGAGGGTAGGTGGTAGGCCGACCTCAAGCCACCGTCTCCCACCTCGGCCCGATGCGTATCGATGCCAACCCCTCTCGAGGACGAGAAGGGGGTCTCCGCTTTACGTTCCTGCGTCCTCTTTCGCTCCTCGTGCTCTCACGCTCACGCTTTCCTCCTCCCTCCACCCGCGATATCGTTCGCCGAGAGTCGGTTTTCCCTTTTATGGCGCATAACCGTGGCCATTTTGAGCCGGCCGGCGAGTAATTCAATTTATAATTGAGCGAAAACCACCGGCA